AGTTTTGATATAAGGAGTGCAAAGGGCTCCTTCAAAAAATTCCTTTGGCAGCATCCTTGTATTTATATGCCTAATTACCACAAGATCTTTTCAGTCATATATATGTGTCTCAGACTATACATACATGTACCTAGTCATGAGCCAATCGTCAAGTCTAATAGAAAGTTATATTATTGGCGAAAAACAAAAAAAATGGTGACAACTAAAAACTTTAAACCATGTAAGGAAAGTATGTGGAATATTTACAGCAGACTTATACCTATGCACCTTCCAATTTAATTGTTTCTTATAGAGAATTTTATTCCTCCTGATAGGAGATAATTATAACTTTGTTTTTACTTTCATTTTTGTTTTAATAAAAACTATTTTTTTTTTCCCTTTTAGCTGTATGAAGAAGTTAAAGATGAAAATACTCAGCTAAAGCAGCAATCTGAGGTATGTGCATAGATATGTGTTGACCTGTGAAGCAGGATGTAAATGCAGGAAGCTGGAAGGATTGTTACATGACTAGAAATTCACATGTAGAGCTGTAAGAAAATGTAATTTAACAATAAGGAGGGGAGACTGGTGGGGAACTGATTGTTTTTGGCAGACTAGACAGATGCACTTCTTTTACATGATTTTCTCAAAAGGATTATATGAAGACAACATTGGCAGAATTAATGGCATTACGTTCAGTAGTCAGGTTAAGTGGTAGATTTATCATTTACCTCTTGAGGGGAGCACTAATCATGAAAAAGGATTAATGTGCCAGGGAATCTCAACAATACCCATTTTTCCTTCCCTAGTTTTGCCAACCCCTGGGTACTTCTCATTATTCTTGTAGTAACCTATCTTCCCTTAGATCTCTCCTCTCATTATGACCTCCAGAGAGCTAAATGTACATGTGCTTGGCTGCAAATTTCTGGTCTTAGCTGATGAACATAATTATTGAAAACAACCTGCATTCTTAGAGTTCAAAAATAGAATGCCGTCAAATGCCTGAGGTACGGTACAGCCAATAACCAACATTAGAAAACAGTCCCAAGAAAATATGCGCGCTGATTGGTTAAAAATCGTGTTCGATGGAAACACAGAACTAACACGAGTTGTTGACGTAACGCTGGCACGAGCAATGAGAATTTACACTTTGATAATCAAAGTTAACAAGCTGTTTTCCTTTTTTTCGTCGTGGTGTTTTTTAAAAGAAATAGAAGACATGTTCTGCGTGTTTCTATCGAGTTATAGAAACACTCGTAAAAGTTTGGGAGAACTTGAAAAAGCCGTGGACACACTCGCCTGCGACTCGTGTTCCCATAGCATTTGTCGTTCTTCCAAGCTTCCACTCGTGCTTCTGTTAAACAATTAGATTATGAGCTCGAGATTCTCGAGATTTCTATGGCATGATAGTTGACTGGGGCTGCGCCTTCGTCAACTATCGCGCGATAGAAATCGAGAGCGAATAATCTAATTGTTTTAGTATAAATCTACTAGTCGTTCAAAACTTAATCTAAATCCTCTTCACAGACATTTCGAAAATGCAAGAAGCAGCCGTCATTTTGTTAACAAGGGTACACTGTTACGCTGCTCACTATCTATTACAGAATAGAAAGTGAGTAGCGTAGCCAATCAGAGAACGGCATTCGTGATAGAACAATAGTGGATTTGTACTAAAACTCGATAGAAACACGGTAGGTGTTTTCTGTTTCTTAAATAGTGTAAACACGAGTTGCAGGTACTGAGGTGAGGAAGATGAGCATTGCCGGAATTGACTGATGCATAACCTGCAAGTTATCCCTGCAAACAGTGTCCTTGTTTCTTCAACAGCGTGATCAGGAAGTGATCTCTATCCTGAAGGACGGTAATGCAGAGGTACTGTTTTGGATGCTGATTACAATTAGTTATGTCCCAATGTGGTATTTATCATCAAAATAGCAGAAAGTGTTTCCCATAAGTCATTATCAGGCTTCTGGTCTTTAAACTAAGATAACTGTTGATAAGTAGAAGTTCTCACAGACGACATAAGTGCTGCCTCCCTTAGCCACAAGAGCAGTGTGTTGAGTTTCCGTCTTTTGACGTAGCTCCACAGGGGAAGATAGTGAGAAACTCAGACCCCCCCCCCCCCCNCCCCATCCACCCCGTCAGACCTATACATGTCTCTTTGAATAAACAAAAAAATTCGTTGAAAGCTGTGTCACTAAGAAGCAATAATCACTCAAATTTAAATGTCTATGCCAAGCTTTGGAAAATGTCCCAGTTTGTTATCCTTGAGGTAGAGTGCTAGGCCTTGAAAAAGAATATATATTAGCCGCTTGCCCATCCAAGTTCGAAGAAAACGTCGCTCACACTAGGGCAGAAAAGGCCGAATATTTGTATCTTCTCAGTCTCTCCCTTTTTTTTTGGCTTAAAATGGAGAAAATCAGTAAGGGAAGTAATGTATGAAAGGAAATTAGGGGATCAGCAACCATTTAAAAGGGTAAATAGCAGGCGAGGTTAGCGCACCCTAGCGCGCACGCTTGATGTATGACGTGGCGTGACGTTGCGACATGAATAACGAGTGCAGTAATAATGGGCGTGAACGTCGTTAAACGGAAATTCCGGAGGGAAAATCAAATCCAACGGAAATTCCCTGTCGAGAATTTCCGAAAATTTTGGTATCAGGGTTTTCAAGTTAGAATACAGTTGCAGGAGGAAATCGAAAAGTAGGCACATCACTAAGGCAGCCATGTCGGGAAGACCGTCATGGTGGATAACCCCCTCTTTTTTTGTGGGGAGTGGGTTACTGGCCCTGGAAACGTTTGGAAATCTGTGTGGCTTGGGATGCATTCTACTGCAATTTTTAATTTGTTACCGACACATACAAAGGTCACCCTATTGGCTGATTCCATCAATATAGAAGTTGAATGTAATACCAATATATTAATGAGGATGGAACATCTGGATTTTTGGAAGAATCGTACTGAGGTCAAAGTTATGTTGAAGCTATGTTTAGGTCTGCAAATTAGCTGATGCGTTGGTCAGATTAGGTTAGTTATTTTTATAATTTTTCTTCTTTTCTGTCATTTTAGCTGCGGAATGATATAAAGAAGACAGAACAGGTATGGTAACCACAGTAGTGCAAACAGCAATTGTATTAACGAAAGAAGGGTACCGGTATATTATGTTAAGCTTGGTAGAATATTCACTACCACGGGTTTCCTGCAGTTCAAATTCATGTCCCCAGAGGCCATAGCAGTAGTCCTTTCGGTCATCACTAGGAATCGTGACCGCTGACTGAGGTTTATTTTTTCAGCTTATGCAGAGTACACATTTTTTATTGTCAGCCAGTCAGGTTTTGCTATATCACATACTTTCAAACTGGATCAGGCAGAGATTGCGATTCTCAGTGCAACCCAAACAGGTTATTGCCTCTGGGGAGCAAGAGTGGTGTAGCTCAGTGGTGGAAAGCCCCCTGGTTTACAGGTTTATTCAAGAACTTTAGCAATTTTTCTGAATAATATTTCTCATTTTCTTTTAATATAAACAGTTGCTTCAAAAAGGAAATGCAACTTGGAAACATTTTTACAGTATTATGTTTATAAATAAGAAAAATGTTTTTGCTAAACATGTTTGTGTATTGTTCACATAAGTTCTTAGTTTCCAAGCAAGGGCCGACCATGTTTTAATAGTGAAACGGTACAGTTTCCATAGGCATGTGACGTGCTGCAGTTCCAATTTAAACTGATGGGTAAAATTCTGATCTAATGTTTCAGCAAAATGAAGAGATTCGTGCGCAGATTGACGATCTGTGTATAGAAAATGATGATTTGCGAAAGAGAAACGACAGTTTGCGTTCAAAAAACGAAGAGTTGTCTACAAAAAACAAAGAGCTGCGTAAATCATGGGATGCAGAAAGGAAAGAGTTGCTTGCTGAGAACACAGAGTTGCGTAAAGATTGGGATACAGAAAGGAAAGGGTGGCGTGAAGAAAACAAGGAGTTGCGCGCAGAGAACAATGAGTTGCGTAAAGAATGGAATGCAGAAAGCAAAGAGCTGCGTGAAGTAAACAAAGAGTTGCGCGCAGAGAACAAAGAGTTGAAGGCAAAGAACAAAGAGTTACTTACGGAAAATGAGAAGTTGTCTGCCAGTCTCAAAGAGGTGCCCGACCAATTAAAAGAGTTGCTGAGCCAGCCAACCAGTGCAGTGTGTGGCGATGATACATCAAGCATCAAAGTGAGTGCCAGGGTAAATAGTATTGATATTACTCTGTAATGGCTTTAACTGCATGGTTTTCAGTAAAAATTGCAGCGTTCTAGAAAAGTCATTACAGTAACAAAGCAAGTGGAGTAGATAGGCACCTTTTATTTGTAATGTACACAGTTCCCTGACCCCATTTAAATATATCCATAAGCATTTCAAAAGAGAACATGATTTGAGAAGATTTATGTTAAGAAGACAGTGACACAGCCTACTGGGGAAAACGTCTGAGTTCCCCCTGCAGCAGTCGAACCTATCAGCTTCCGCCTTCTCGTCAGATACTCTTAGGCGGCGTCCACGCTACGTCGGAGAAATTTGAAAACGGAGCTTCATTTCTACGGTTAGGTCTACCGTCCACACTAATCCGTCAGGAAAACGGGGCTTTTGGAAAACGATGGTGTCACGGAAAAATTCCAAAATTGACCAGTGATTGCTGCGTTTTTAAAGGCATCCCACGTAGTGTGGACGGAAAACATTTGATGCGTTTCCGAGTGAAAACTCCGTTTTTAAATTCCTCAGCCGTAGTGTACACGGGACCTTAGTCAACCACTGAGCTATAGGAAGATTGTGGTAGAACTAGTTTTCAAAGGTAACAAACCTCCTTGACTTGATTTGTAAGGATCAGTCTTGTCGGTGACTGAAATTATGTGGAACGTTTTTTTCCAAGCTTAATCTTTACCGAAAATGTTTCCCACCCGAACTCACTCATCATAGAATTAATCCTAGTTGTATGGCCTGATACAAGTCTTCTGTAGCTCAGTTGTAATTAAAGCATTCGACCGGTGTGTGGAAGGACATAGGTTTGACGACCCCTGTTTCAAGAAATCGGAATTTTGTTTTAAGTAGCTCGTCTCACTGATTGATTAATATATTTCTCAGCTAAAGTAATTTCTTTCCACACGCTAGAGAACATTTTTTGTGCGATGTTTTTTTTTTTTGTTTTTTTTTCTAATTGTGCAGTATACGTGTTTTACAAGGATTTCCAGCGAGTAACTGATGGGGCAGCTCTTCTCAAGTAATGATATTGACAACAAAGATAATTTATATAAGCAAACGTTTTGTAATGCACAAGCAAGTAAAAATTAGCGATAAGAACGAACGACGTTTTGGAGGCGCCATAACACCATTTTCAAGTTCAAAGATAGGAAATTGAACTGTCAGAGGAAGATCTACGTTGGTTTATTTTTGTTTCTTATTTCACATAGGATTCAGATAATGTGAAAGCAGAGGGGCCATCTGGATCATCAGCCAACAGCCCACGAGAAGGTAAAGTAAAAGAAATTGTTTTTGATGAAAGTTTCACTGATTCCCTTGCCCCTTCACTAACTATGCTTTGCTCCAACGGTCCTTTATCCCACAATCGACCTTTCTTGTTGGAAATTGCTGTCCTGATTTTGTTGCTCGCAGGAGCTTTCGTTTAGTATAATTAATGGCTAAAACAGCGAAAATCATGATTCAGCTATTGATAGTTCCTACTCGGCACTGCAGAAGAACGCTTGATGGCTGAAGTTTATGGAATATAACTACAAAATGAAGGTTATAAATTACACGCTAATGTTTTATCGTACTGGTCACGCTAATTGGTTTTATTTCGAACAAAACAGTCTTCGACTGATACACAATCATAAAGCTCAAACAAGCCATGATAAGACTAATAAAGTAACATAATTTTCTCCAAACAGCGAACTCAAGAAAAGGTTTTCAGCAGACGAATAGCAATTAACCAACTTAACGGGCTTAAGGGAGGGCGCGCTTTAAACATAATAGATTGTGATTGACTATGAGCGGGCAAGTTGGGGCAAGTCTATTGTGCTAAAGGGGGGTACACCCTCTCTACTGTGTAAAAGCCCCGCTCATTAGTATGCAGTTATATACAGGAAATCGTATTTAGTATGCCGGAAATCCATCCCGGAGTTTATTGTAATCACCGTGTAGGGGAATCCTTGTTTACAATATTTTCCTCATTAGCATAAGCAATTCAATTTCTGATAGAGCTATAAAAATTAAGTTCTGAATATTGAAAGGTCATAGTACGATTAACTCTGCCAGTGAATATGAGCCTGATGCAGTGAATACCTTTTGTGCAACACGGGTTTAAAAACTCAAAATTTCACAAAGATTGTATGAGCTCATTAGCGCTTTTGCCACCCAGAAATTTTGCAGTTTTTGAAAGACATTAACTCCTTGAATATTACGCTCAAAGAGCTAAAAATTTCACCATGCATTAAGTTTCACTAGCTCTTTAGCTGCCAGGAGACAATTCATATCCAACATGTTTTCTTCTGTTCGCAAAGCCGAATGCAAATGAGCAAAAATGTAAACAATGACGTCAGCATGAATCCGCCTATACAGTCACAGCTCTATTAAGCGGCCCTTTGTTAAGTTGTCATCCTCTATTAATTCGCGAAATTCGCTTGACATATGTAGTTTTTTTGGACCTCCGTTAAGTGGACGCGGTCTCCGTTTGGACTTTCCAATTGGCTAATGTTATTGTAATTCACGTCTTTTAAAAGGTCAGCTTGTTACATCAGGTGGTCAACAGGAGCACGCGTCAAATTTTTTTTGAGCAATTTCCGCTGCACCCACTTACAACAAAATCTTTCAGCTTTAAATTGATTCTCGCAAGGACCTCGAGGCCAAAGCCTCTTCCCGCTCTGATAACCTCTGTTAATTGTTAGACTTCTGACGTCAGACTTTGCTTTTCAAGTTGCCAGTTGAATAAGATTCTCATGACAGGTATGAGTTTAACAGTTAAGGTTTTGTCTTGCCAAAGTGTAAATTTTGGGCTGTGACTTCGCAGCACGTAAGTATGCACTATGTTCCTGGCATTTAAAAATATTCTAACACTGGCGTATAATGTACGTACGAAGTACCCATACTGCTCAGTTTGGTTTGCCCTTAGCCTCTCGAGCACCTTTGGCAAGAAAGCAACGTTTTGCTCGTTCATGTTCTCCTCCCGGTACACTCCTGTCATATGCTACTAGCTTGTTGAGCCTCTTTGACAGGAGTATTCCTTTTAAGCCACTAAACGGTTGAATGCCTAATTCCCCTTGTTGGTTTTTAGACTCGGATGGTTCTCGCAAGGAGGAGGAGCCATTTCTGGACCCTTTGAGCAAGGATGTCTCTAAACTGGATTAATGCAACCAACACATGGAGGTGTGGTGTGGTCAAGGCATGCACACAGCCCGTACTCCTAATCAACGACACTGCCGTTTTGTGGAAAAAATAAATTAGTCTTGTCTGAGTTAGACCGTGTTACAAGTATGTTTCAAATGTAGAATTTGTGTTTGTAGAGATGTCATTTTCAGGACAAACACTTACTTAAACAAATCACTCGATTCTGTTTTTACGAAAACTACTGGGAAGATAAGCCATTAACCGAGAAAAAGACAAAAAGAACCCGGAAAACTTGACCTTGGTGACGCGCGTTTTTCTGTGCTTGGCTTCCGTCACCTGTACTTGGTCCGATTACTCATTAGTTCATTTTGTTAGTTACTTGTGATAGGCCAATTAAATTTCTTTACTTTAGGTTTTAAGAAACTCAAATAATAACCGCTCTTTGTCGGGGATACAAGTGACGTATCCATATGGTTTCAGATTCTTGTTGACCAATAACAAAATAGAACGAGTACTGGAATGTTGTCGCAACTGCTTCAGACCACTAAGAGACGTCACGTCGCGTAGCAACCCCTTCGACATCCAAATGCGGGCTCAGTCTACTCTAAGGGTTAAGATTCTGATCAGGAACAGTGCTTGTTTCCCAGAGAGTATAATAAGTTTTCATGTAAAATACAGTTATGTAATGAAATTTACTAGTATGGGGTGCTGTTAACCATGCAATGGTTACTTGTGTGGAATAATTTAGTTTTCAAAACGTTTTCTACAAGAAAATGAGTTTTTTAATCTTATAGATTTCATATTCTTATCGTCCCTTTTTGCACGGTACGTTTCCCACAGTTTTTAGAAATGTATGATCTTCCTATCGAGACGCTAAAATTGAGTGTTAACTATTGTTTGCAGCATACACGTGTCTAAAGTTTTGGCGTGAATGGTACTGACACACGATGTTTGCCAAGTATATTGTAAACAGAGGAAAAGTTTAGAAAAAATAGCTACATTCAGATCCACAACGATTTCACATGAAAGCTCTTTGTTCGCAAAGAGTGATGTAAGGTTTATAGTGGAACTCCAGCGTGCGAAGCGCGCCAGCGGAGCACCGAAAGTGCTTATATGTTATTTTACTATTACCTGACGTGAAACATCCGATTTGAGTAAAACCCTCTGCCGGGCTTAAGTCTCGCCAATGAAATGTTACCATGCTATGAAGTTTCTTTGTTAACCACGTGATATTTGAATAGTTTTTGATCTATACATTTTGTAATGTACTCGATAATTCTTAGTCAATCAATAGATTTGTAATGCTTTTTTTAATCGAAATCATCTTTGACATCTGGATATTGTCAATGTGGGTAATGTTCTTCCACAGTAACTTGTTATTAAAGCGATTTTTACTTTTAGTAATGGTTGAGTGGTTTGTATTTTGATCACCCGTCACCCGTCACCCGCCACCCGTGGAAAAGTGCTGCAGGTTAATTATAGCTTTCTGCCGTTCTCTTTCACGCTCTGCTTCAGTTAAACCCTCACTTGTAAACTTGATATCAACTCCGCTATCGTTTGTTGGCAAATCGATAGAAATGAGTTTTCTTTTCTAAAATGAAAAACCTCCCTTTTCGGGAACAATCATTTCGCTTAAAAAAACTCTCTCTTTCAAAATTATTAAGGCGATGTTTATTTTCCGCCAGAAAAACGCGGGCTGCTAAAAGCGTAGTATCACGTACGCGCGATTTCCCGCCAAAAAAAGATGGTACCTCTCCCGTTGGGGTTACCTTGAGACTCTCACAGTCGGTACTGAAGCTAGCTCGGATGGTGACGTCATAACCAAATTTCCTCGGCTTGCAACCTCGATTCTCTCCTTTGCCTCCCGTTTCATTGAGGAGAGAGACAAAGGTTGCGGCTGCTCACATGATAACCCGTGACACAAAGGTTTACATCGGGTTAGAGTACACCAATAGTTTTTGTCGTTCTCAGCTGAAGAGAAAGAAACGCGATCGCTATAGATCAAACACGGGCAAGTACACCTTTAAAATTCCCCAGCCCTATTCTAAGCTTCACACAGGCCAAATATATTAAACAATTATTCTTTGAAATCGAGGTGAATGGTAGCGTAGTATTTACCAAGCTGCGAAGCTCGAGATCAATATTCTGCGGTCAGTGTAAAACTCGGACTGCAGACCCGGGTGAAATGCAGACTGTAGACTTTTTAACTGAATCGTGTTACCGTTTCTATCGTTAAGAGCTAACCGCAAACAGGCTAACCGGAGTATCATTAAGGTTAACCTGAGTGATATTCAGGCTAATCAGAATGATATTAAATCTAACCGGAGTGAAATTCGGGCTAACCGGAGTGCAGACATTCACTACGATTAGTTCGCTGAATAATCCTGTTTACGGTCAGCCCTCGATAATGAAAATAATACGATATATAGTTAAAAAGTCTGTAGTCGTCATTTTACCCTTAATCTGCATTTTACTCCCGGTCTGCAGTTTGCAGTCCACTGACTGCGTTTTTACACTGACCGCTGAAATCTGTGATTACCAAGGACGTGTCCTGAAACTGCTCGAAGGTAAAGTAAAGTAAAGTAAAGTAAAGTAAAGTAAAGTAAAGTAAAGTAAGTAAAAGCTTTATTAATGTGTCAATGTATTTAGTTTTCACAACTAATTGGGGACAACAACAAAAAATTAAAATTATTTACAAACGAACTTCGGTAAGTCTTTTCTTACCTTTAAAAACTTTCAGGCCAAATTTCGTGGCCTTCTTTGTATTTTCAAGTACATCCTCTTCGCGTATTCTCGGGATTTCCTAGTCCCAGCTCTTCTTCGTTGCTTGTAGGAAAACTTTTACCCTTTTTCTGCATATTTTTGTCAATAATAGTTCATAGACAGCAGCAGATTCGGCGGTGATGCTAACAGCAGTAAGGGTAAATTTAAACAGAAAAAATATCACTGTTCCCATTCACACTTGAAAAGATAAATATAGGAAAGGAAGAAGGACTTCTTCGAAGAATCAAAGTAGGAAATTATTCTGAAATTATTTATTCAACGTGGTCCAGTCAGCTCCATAGCCGGTCTCTAGTACCCTACCCTGACTAGAGATAATAAAAAGCAAGGGATAGTACGATGACAGAATTGTAATGGATTTTAGTCTTCTTTCCTTTTTGAATGAGAACCTACACCTTTCTCAAAGTTAAAAAGTATTTGAGGGATTAGTTTATGTAAATTTTTTGCAGGTAGAAACTAGGAATTCCCACTTCTTGGTGAATAGACAACTTGAGCATTTAAAGACGGTGCCTACTTTTGTTAGTGCGCATATTTTCTGCGCATCACGCAAGGCATGGTTTAAGTGCCACGCGCGCGCTAGGGTTGACATTAACGCCATCAACTACGCTACCAAGTACACGACTAAAAGAAAGCAAAATTTTCCTACTGTGACCAAATCAAGTTTAATAAACCCGTACTCAAACCAGGAACACCAAAATAGCAGCATATCACCAACCACTAACTGTTAACGTCTTCCAGCTGAAAAACTAGCTGGTATCTGGCGAAAATTATACTGCAATCCAACTGTAAACAAGTACCTGCAGATGGCGTAGTGCGCGCGCAAAACAAGTGCGAAATACGTAAATGTTTTACTTACTGGGGAGGTGACAGGAAAAAATGTAACGGGCACCATAAAAGTTTTCAAAAATAGATCAATAACTATAACGCGTGGTTACCCCACATTTTATGTTATGAAATGGAAGTGGCAAGCCTATTCAACACGTGATTAGTTTCTGGTTGTGACCAAAAGGTATTTAGACTGTATTTTGGCTGAACCAGAGGAAGGCTGTCAGAGACGCTAAAAGCGCTGTTGCAACGATTTTGTTATTAAAAACATACCAAAAATGGTTTTTATGTTATCATTTACCATGTAGTTTTAAGACCTTTATAAATGTGTTTGCTTTTCTGTTTGTAAAGGAGATTTCGAAGGAAACTTGTGAAGAAATATCCTTTCCTTCTTTTTTTAGAAGAGATTCAAGGCTGATTATCTGGAAAAAATGCGTGGCTACCCAATCTTTCTTTGTGGATTCCAATGGCCCTTGCAAAGATCTACTTTTTCGGCGTGGTCCTAACCCTGCGCAAAAACCTTTGTATTTAGTAGGCACCGTCCTTAATAGGACATGCGGCCCTCGTTAACAGCGCACATCTTTGATATTGAACATCAATTTTATAGTCAATTGGCACCTGTCAAAACAAGGTATCCGCTGGCCAGTGCCACGTGACCATATTGCAGCCTCAAGTTTAGAGCTTATTGAGGTCACGAGTTTTTTACGTTAACCACTGACCAAGTACCGCCTTTTCGATTGGATCGCGGGCTCAATCCAGGTTAACTTACTGTAATCAGGGCCGGGTTGTTCAGAACTGAGCCAGTTAACGCTGACCCAGGATTAAAAGTTAACCGACGTATAATTTTTTCTTGTATAAAAATGTTTTTCACTACTTATGTTTTGTGTAGTTTGAAATTATTGAAACTCAGAAGGCCAAACAACATAGCCAGAAAACCTCACCGCCGAGTAAAAAAAAATCTCAAATCAAAATTCTCACTTATTCTGGGTTAGCTTAACCAGGCTTTAAAAAACCCGGTCCAGGAACTCCGGTTTTAGATTTGGCTTCATCTGCATATTATGTTAACCTATTAGGTATAGTAGAAGGAGGAAAGCAAGAGAGTTTTTCGATCTCTGGTTAAGTGTGATCTGGATACGAAGGTCATGCTTTGAACTTGTTTGTCCAGCTCATGACTATAATTAAATGATAATAGTTTGTTGTCACAAGATGGATAATAGAACCGTCCGAACTATGCTGTTTCAACATGGCCAGGGCTTCTATGGTGTTCAAATCCCTAGCTCAAAGAAAACCGAAATATTTTAGTTGATTACCAGAAGAGGTCATAGCAAATTTCCTAAGATAGGTGTGTTCCTTTGTCTGGTGCAAACAGTTCCCGTACTTGAGTTGATACAACCAAAAAGAAAAACAAATATAGAAGCTTGACGGAAAGACTGAGTACCAGGTTAGAATAATGAGAGATTGCCTGTGACGTTGTTTAGTCAGAGCTAGTAAGCGGACAAATCAGTTTCTAAAAATTCCAACCTAATCGTAATTACCTCTGATGTCAGTTTCACAGGCTAAGGGTTGTCGTACATGTTAAAGTGCACCTAACCCCAAAATTTTTTTTTCGCTAAAACGAATCTAGACTTTATTTGAAGCATTTGGGCGAAGAAATTTTTGAATTTGGTTGAA